AGAGTTGTTATGACAATCACTACACTTCATACTTTGAAGTAGAGTTGTTATGACAATCACTACACTTCATACTTTGAAGTAGAGTTGTTATGACAATCACTACACTTCATATTTTGAAGTAGAGTTGTTATGACAATCACTACACTTCATACTTTTGAAGTAGAGTTGTTATGACAGTCACTACACTTCATACTTTTGAAGTAGAGTTGTTATGACAATCACTACACTTCATACTATTGAAGTAATGTTGTATGACAATCACTACACTTCATACTTTTGAAGTAAAGTTGTATGACAATCACTACACTTCATACTTTTGAAGTTAAGTTGTTATGACAATCACTACACTTCATACTATTGAAGTAAAGTTGTTATGACAATCACTACACTTCATACTATTGAAGTAAAGTTGTTATGACAATCACTACACTTCATAGTATTGAAGTAAAGTTGTTATGACAATCACTACACTTCATACTTTTGAAGTAGAATATATCTTTCTAATGCCTCATTTGTTCTTCCTTTTTAATAAAACCAAAATATGTGAAGTTTAAAATATGTAAACCTGACGTTGTTTTTGTAACATGACTATTGCAAGTGACAACACTTGAGAATACAAACGTGATATTCGTGTCAAGTACATGAAATACCTGATGTCAAGTACGTGATATACGAGTTTGCCACACAAAATTTTTCAACATAAATTGTCAAACAATAAAAGCACCTTCTGAAACCTAGCCTACTGTTCAGAAGGGTTAGGTAAATTTATTCATTTGCAATAACTTTTAGCACATCTAATTACATTTATTTGGATACCAGTGTTAATATTTGGATATTAGCTCCGAGAATCCAATGTGTTTAGAGGTTTCTTTCTGTTGAGCATGGGTTATGTTTGGATCTATATTTTTATGATTTTCCTTTTATTTATTAACTTTGTTACATCATCACACAGGTTCCTGTAAATCGTGGGCTTGTAGCTAGACACCACAATACTTAGCCCTTAACCCAGAAAAGAAATAATCAATTTTATTTTCAAGGAACATCACACGTATATAATATAGAAGTTACCTTTACAGACGTTACAGATGTCCATGTTACAAATCAAATCACCTTACCTTTCGAAAACGCTCCTCAGCTCCTTCTTCTTTTGACTTATCAGGATGATATTGTAAAGATAACCTTCTGTAAGCTTTTCTAATGTCACTATTGGAAGCAGTCTAAAAAAGAATACATACACGCGTACATATACTTTCACAGATTCTATTCGTACATCACATACAGAATCAACATAACCACTTGTTAGTTCTATCATTAGACATAGCCGCACTCGGGACATTATGTGAACAATGGTAAAACAAGAAAAGGATGTTAATAAAAAACAACAACTTTATTTACAACTATTAGAACTTATTATGGTACAACAGTGGCTTACTCTGAATCAACCTAAGGTCAGTGCATATTTTTGTTTTTAGTTTTGATTTACTACAGTACATGTACAATAGTTAAAGGCATAATGAACTAGTGTCAATTTCCTAAAAAACATGCCTGTTGTTGGAAATGCACATTTATATTGGACAGTATTGTAATATTCCAGCAATATAACCTCCATGTGATTACTCAACTATGACAACACTGTTTAAAAGTTAATTAAATAAAAAGAATAAGTTTAGTAGTTAAATCAATTTAACAGAAATATTACTTTAGTTATGATAAATATAAGTTCACTGACGACTAACGCTTAATTTTCTGAAATTAATCCACTACAGACTTTGCATTTAACATTACAAATTCTAAACATGATTACAGATAACATCCATCATTTTTCAAAATTATTTACACATAAAAAATATACATATACTCCTTTTGATCACTATACCTCACAAAAAAAAACACCTCTTTACCAATACGGTACCAAGTTAATAACTTCAGCTAGAAATATCCCGAGCTTTAGTTTTGATCACTATAACTCACAAAAAAACACCTCTTTACCAATACGGTACCAAGTTAATAACTTCAGCTAGAAATATCCCGAGCTTTAGTTTGATAAATACCAAAATGTTTTGTAACATTCACTTCCTAATCCCCACATTTGTTTCATCATCACATAGGTTATACGAACAAATCTTTGTGAACTGATCGTTTATTAACAGTTCATAGTCGTTTGTAAACCCAGTATACTTAATGTTTATAACTTGTGTAATAATAGTTTCTCATCAACTGTGTGAATGTTCTCCAACATTATACACCTACTTTATCACCTTTTGTAGACAACCCTCAACCCACATACATCCCCCCAAGGCAACAGCCACTTTTCTTAGGATGTACCGAAACACGTAGGTACAAGTTAGTTACTGATGTGCTAGGATACGAGTTAAATCACATAGAGCTTAATGAATAACATTTTATGTTCATAATGTGAGTAGAGAATAGTAAAACCTGTGTTCTTCAACACTTTCATGTGATAAAAATCTCTTATTGCGAGTACCATAAGACATCAAA